GATGGGTCCAGCCCTTCAGGAAGATCCTCCACAGCTTTGTTGATCAGGCGCTCCCGGGGGATGGGCACGGCGGTGGGCACGGCCGTGGCCGCTGCCACGGGGCACTTGGGGACCAGGGACATGTCACTGTTATAGTTGCTGTGGCTGCTATAGTAACTGCTGCTGGGGCTGCTGCTGGGGCTGGAGCTGGGCTCGCTGCTCAGAGGCTTGGGGGCCATGGCGGGGGGAGCCTCCGCAGGAGCGCCCTCCCCTGGGGTGCTGGGGCCCTTGTCAGGCGGCCACTGGAGCAAGTTGATGTTGTTGAGTTCCTGTGCCCCAGGAGAGGAGAAGCTGACCCATGGGGTGGGCACGGGAGGAAGGGCCTGCGCATTCACTACCACCCTGGGAGGCTGGTGCTGGCCCAGCGGCACCGCTTCTGCCACGCACCCGCCACGCAAGTGTGTCTTGGACAAAATACTGCTCTGCACCTCAGTTTCCCCCCCTGTCAAATTCTTCCGGCCCTGCCTGCCTAACCGGGCTACTTTGAGGAGTGGGTTAAACCCTGGGGGGGTTTCCGCTGCCCCTTCCCCTTCACTCCCTCGAGATCCCCCATGGTAAGGCACATGCCTGAGGATGCCAAGAGGACCCCAGCCTGAGCCCGGGGAAGGTGCCCGGGGCAGAGTCAGTCATGCCTCTTTCTGGGCCTTCTGCTGGCTGGGCTCGGCCTCCCCTGTCTCACTTTGCCTGGTGGGGAGTTGGCCTGACCTGGTAAGGCCCGATCTGTGACCGGCAAACTGGCCAGCCTGGGGAGAGTCACCGAGTCTGTACTGGGCCACGGGGCCTGCCCAGGCCAGCTCACTCACCATGGTCATCTCAGAGATGGCTGACACATCCCCAAGGCTGTTCTTCAGCTCCTCATAGGATGTGCCATTCTGAAGGGGGTGGGGAAAGGTAGCTGTTAGGACTGAGGTAGGAACGGAGATAGGATGGGAGACGAGGGTGGGGAACCAGCGGGGTCAGAGGAGGGTGGGGAACCAGCAGGGTCAGGGACAGGAACGGAGAAAAGCAAAGGGGATAGAAAAGGGGGAGGGGGCTGGGGACCGAGATGGGGGACGGGATTGGCTGTGCCTCACGTTCCACTTGTAGGGGTCCCAAAAACTGAACCAGCCAGTGAAGGTGGGGGGCTCATGGCCCTGCTTGACCACAATGATGGGGGTTGCTGGGTCCCTGCCCGCCGGATGGCTCTTCAGGTACTCTCGGGCCAAAGCCACTGACTCTCTCTTCTCATACGTGTTGGAGTCTTTCCCAATCCACAAGAAAACCTGAGATGGAAGAAGATGGTTCTGCTATTGCCCTGGACGCTATTGGGGCAGGTGGGCTCCGGCTGGAGCCTCAGGCCCCTTCTATGAAGTGAAGAAACCACTGGTGGGGTTGGAGTTTGGAGCGCCCCTAGCGGCTCATCTGAGTACTTTCCCCACCCAACGTCCTACTCTTGGCAGAGAAAACAGAAACAAAGTGAGGATTGAGTCGTTCTGCTTTTTTCCCCTAATATCTCCAAGACACTAAAATCCCAGTCACTCCCAGCAGCAATTCTGTGTGGACTTTTATCCTCTTCCCCCCCAATAAAGCAAAACCAAACAGAACCCATGTTATTGCTCTCCTGCCCAGCCTCAGGGCACTGGGCTTCTACTCACCCAGTCGCCCACCCCAGCCAGCCTCCTGCCACCCGCCCTGCCACTGCTCTCTCTGAGCATTGGCCTCCGGAGTCTGTGCCCTGCTCAGCTCTGAAGCTCCTGCCCAGGAGGGAGCGAAGACAGATTCCTGGCCAGCCCCTGGCCAGACCCCCCCAGACCACAGTTCACATCTCAGTCAGCTTCCACCTGGACCGTCAACCCCCTTTCTGGTGGTCCTCACTTTTCATCTCTTGCTCTCAGAACTAGACCCAAGTCAACACTCTCATTGTTTTTGGGGAGGATGAGTCAGCCCACTGCCGTATGGCTCTGTCACCAACCCAGAGACTCCCTTGGCCAGTCCACACCTCCCTGGTGTCACCACTGTCCCGTGGGTCAGGTCAGCTCCCTGAGGGAACCATTGGCCACTTTGGCTTTTGTATCCTCAGAGCTGAGCACAGGGCTGGGTACACAGTAAGTGCTAAATAAATGCTGCCCATTCATTGAATTTCATTCATTTAGTGCTTCTGACACTATTCTTACACAGCTGTGCCGGTCTTTCCTATTCCCCCTCCACCAGGTGCCCTGGCCTCCATCACCCAGAAATATCTTTCAGATGTAGGTGGATTGGGTAGAGGGGGTCCCTCCAGATGTGTTCATTCACTGTGTGCCCTGTGTGTATGTACCCTTCCTACTGATGATGTCTGTGGGTGGATGTGACCAGGGCAGAGCTCTTTCCAGGATGACACACTGCTTTTAATGGGAGGAGGGAAGGGAGAGGAGGAAGAGGGGAGGAGAGGGAGGAAGAGGAGAGGGGAGGAAGAGGGGAGGGGAGGGGAGGAAGAGGGGAGGAGAGGATGGGGGAGGGGAGGAAGACGGGGGGAGGGGAGGGTTCTGAGGCGGTACCTCTTCCCAGGTGTCCAGTAACATAATGTCATCCTCGTCCAGGTCATCCTGGCTAAAGAACACGGTCTCCGTCAGGACGAAGCGGTCTGTCTGACTGGGGCACTGGAACAGGCGGGGCTGGCAGGAGGAGGGCTTCTTCTGGAGCCTGGGTCCATGAGGGCAATGTGAGAGCACGAGACAATGAGCCGGGAAGGGAGGCAGAGAGCCACGTGTGCGCGCCCCTAAGTGTGGCTCTGCTGTTCTGGGCACCAGACCTTCCCCCAGCCTCGCTTCTTGCTGCTAATTCCAGGCCAGACTCTCTTCTTCCAACCCTAACTCTAAACTTGGCTCCCCCTCCAGGAAGCCCTCCCAGGTTAACCCTGGCTTGTTCAGATCCTGCCTCCACTCTCAGTTCCCTCAGGCCTTCACTGCAGGGCTCCCTCAGTTTCCCCAACAGATGCATCCCAGAAAGGATGGCTCCCTACGCTATAGATGACATCTCATTGTCTCACTGGCTCCTGTTGGAAAGTGGGCTAGGAGCTCTGAGGAGTCCTAGGGGACTGAGCCCAGCCTCATCTCTGGGAAGGCAGACCTGAGGCCTCTTTGTAAACGGAAAGGAATTGCTCTTTCCCTTTAGCCTCAGCATGGAGCGGGGGGCAGCTGAGCACTGGCCAGAGCAGCTGCTCTCCCCTTGGCCAGCCCCTTCTCTGCTCACTCCATCACCTCTGCGAACAGAGAAGGCTGGAAGAAGAAACCTCAGGGATCCCCCCACCTCCCAGTTCACAAAGGGAGGAACGAAGACCCAGACAGTGAAGTGACTGGACCCAAACTCGTCTCCTGGTGCTCCTTCCTTCTGGGCCATCGCCCTTCCAGACCACAGACCTGGTCAGTCAGGCTCAGCGGCCTGGAATTGAAGGTCTCCGGAACCTCGCCTCATCTCCCCATTCCTCCCATCAAGCCCAAGCCCCACCTCGTCTCTGGTACCACGCGTGCTGGCCCCTTCCCCAGGCCAGGCCCGCTCTCCTCTCCCTGCCGGGGCTCACCCCATGCTCCGCCACTGAAGAGACACATTTGTGCTCACTCAGACATTATCCCGAATTGCTCTGTACTTGTTTCTTTTCTACAGAAAGAGTCTGTGAGCTCGCTGAGGATGGGGGCCATGTTCCCTCACTATCTCACTGGCTGATGAGGCCAGCACTTAGCTAGGAACCCACAGAAAAGACCTACAAAATGGCTGTCTGGCTGGCTGAAAGACGGCACGACAGGCTGCTTGGGGATCCGGATCTCCCTCTCCCCTCCCACCATGGCTGGGAGAGCTGAGGGGGCTCTCTGAGCCTCTCTTTAGAGGATGACAGATAGAGTCAGTGCGATTGGCTGGCCCACGTCATGTCCAGAGACCCAGACTTGGAGAGCAGGAGACTTAGGCTCCATTCCAGGCTCTGTGTGTGAGCTCCCAGCAAGGCACCAAACTTTTCTGGGCTCAGTTTCCTCATCTGTACCATGGGTCTAATACCACTGATTCTGTCACCTCCCAAGTCAAACAAGGCTGGGAAAGCCCTAGTAGGTGGCTTTCCCAGAAGTCTAACTGTCCCTGAGGAGTTTTTCGCCTTTGACCCTGGAATTCTGGGACCCCATGGCTCCTCTCTCCCTGTTCCCCACCCCTACTTTCTTCTACCTCTTATCACTGGCATATGGGGCTCGGCCTCCCAGTGCCTCCCAGAAGCTGTGGGGCTCCTGCCCCTCCAACACTGTCTGCTTGTCCTTGTGAGAGACGATGTCGGCCACCATGCGAGCCATCTCCCTCTCATCTCCGCTGCAGCCCTGGAGGGGACCAAGAGGGAGGAACGGGACTGTGCAGCCTGCTTCTGTCCCCAGCCCTGGGTCCCAGGAGCACCCCCACCCCACCCCTCCAGGCCCTTCCCTTACAGCCTGCTCAGCCCTGAGATCTCTTTCCAGAACCTCTCAGCCCACAGCTGGAGTTCACCACTGGAGTGCAGTGGAGCTGGGAACATATTCCCACCCAGGGGCTGATGTTCAGACTGGGGGAGGGGAAAGGAGGGGAGAGACAGAGAAGGGAGGAGGGGAAGGAAGGGGGGTAGAGGGGAAGGAGAAGGAAAGGGGAGGCCATGTGCATGGGCACAGCAGGAAGGGAACCCAGGAGCAGCTGGAGAAAGATACCAAAGGGTAATCCCTGGGTGTTATCAAGGAGAGAAGGGAGGGAATGGACAGTGTCCTTGGGTTTGCCACCTGCATGAATTCTTCTGCCCTGAAAGTGGGCAGGGGAGGCCATGCAGGGCTGAGGCAGAGAAGGCTGGGGCAATGAAGACAAAGGCCACCCTTCTGTTACCAGGGCCTGGGAAGCCCACTGGAGAAAGACTCAGATACAGAACGGGACAGGAATGGAGTAGTATCTGCGCTGCCTGGCCCAAGACAGCGTGAATGGCCAGAATTCAGCCAGCCAGGTCAGCGTGGGCCCTCGGTCTGATCCATCCCCCCAGCCCCTTTACCCCAGCCTACTCCAAGGCTGCAGGGAGGGCTCACCTACCTTTCCACACCACAGGTAGCAGATGTGGCTGGTGGAAAGCAGGAAAACATCATTGGAGTTGAGGGAAGAGGCTCGGGCGGGCACCTCGGAGGTCTTGGTGTTGCATTCATCTGTGCCCCTCACCTGGAACAGCCGGATGTCTGGCTCGGGGTCTGCGCGGCCATCTCGGCCAGTGCCGTTCTGGAAAATAACGGCCAAAGCCTCCATCAGCCCCAGCTCTGGAGCCCCTCCACAGGCGGCCATCCAAACTCCACCAAGACCTCCGGTGAGGCCAGCACTAGGCGAGAAGAGGCGACCACCTCCCCAGGCAGCCCACCCCACTTTGGCCAGCTCTCCCTTTTCCTCAGCTGACACAGAGTCTGGCTCTCCGTCCCTCCCCCAAGCTCCTGGCTCTGCCTCTGGGGTCAAACACATCTTGCCCTTGATGGCCAGGCACCTCAGGCAACTGGAGCCAACAGGGATTCCTGCGCCCCTCCCCAAGGCTCCTCCAGCCCCAGTCCCTTCCACACTCTCTTCTCCGGGGTGAGCTCTGCCTTCCTTGTTTCTGCTCGGGTTAATCTCCAGCACAGCAGCAGCTGTCACTCCCCCCCACCCCTTTCTGCCTCTGCTGCAGCTTTCCCCTGGCACGTGGCACCGCTCTGAAGGCCCCTTTCTACTCCCAGCGTCTCCAGTCGGAGGAGAGGCCTGGGCAGGCCAGACTTCACTCCCCTCCCCGCACCCTTCTGTTTCTGACTTTCTGGACTTCAATGTTGTAGTCCTGGAGGGGACCCTTCCCCCTCCTCCCCCTTTCAGTTCCTTTTACACCTAGTCTTCCCTCATTAGAATGGAAGCTCCTTGAAGGGCAGGAACCGTATTTCTTTTTGCCTAGCATAGTGCCTGGCACACAGAAAGTATTTAATAAAGGTGTTTATTGCCTGTGTGCCTTGTCAATATCCTTCCCAAACTAGGGTGCCCAAAACTGAACACAAGACTTCAGATGGGGTCCAGGCAGCGGGACTATCGCCTGTTCATCTGGGAGCTTTGCCTCTTCTCACAGCCTCAGATCTCATCATTTACTCATACTGAGCTTGTGGTCCCCTATGATTCCCAGATATTTTCCCTGGAACCAATGTTCCCCTCCATCTTGTATGTATGAAGTTGTTGGTCTTTTTTTTTTCAATCCAAATGTAGAATTGTGAATGATTAGATTCTGCCAAATGTCTTAGCCTGTCCAGATCTCCACCATCCAGTGTTTGCTGTCCTCTCCAGCTCTGTGTCATCTGCAGTTGGTGGGGAGGCCATTTATGCCTTTCCCCAAGTCCTTGAGAAAAATGTGAGCCAGCATAGGACCAAGGACAGATCCTTGGGGCCCTTCCCTAGAGACCTTCCAGCCCATTAGTGGGCCCTCTCTGTATCGGGCTCTCGAGCCACTGTTAGACTGGGGCCATCGTCAAGGCTACCCTCCACTGTCTCAAAGAACATCTGAAGGAATTGGTGATGTGCTCAGCGAGAATCTACACAGATAACACCTTGGTCATTCCTCAGAGCTGAAATAAGAACTGGGGCCAGGGTCCAGAGACTAGCCCTTGGGAAAGTCGCTGGGCTCCTTGGGGTCTCCCAAGTGACAGACGGGGCAAGGTAACCTCTGCAAAGTCCAGGGGTGAGCTGCAGAGTGTCCAGGGAAGGCAATCACAATGGTGAAGGGCCTGGAGTTCATGCCATACAAGGACTGGTTGAAGGAACTGGGGATGTTTAGCCCAGAAAAGAGAAGACTAGGGACGGGGAGGATGGACATAATCCATATCTTCAAGCTTTGGAAGGACTGTCCTGGAGAAAGGGATTAGCTGAGTCCTGCTTGGCCCCAGAGGGCAGACCCAGGAGCCCCGAGGAGAAGGTTCAAAAGGCCAATAGGAGGGCAGGAGAAGCTTCCTAACTGGGAGAGCCGCCCCACAGTCAGTGGAACAGGCTGCCCAGGGAGGTGGTGGTGAGCTCCCAGGCCTGCAGGCAGAGGCCATGACCGATGACCATTTGTCAGTCGAGGCGATTCTAGTTTGGGTTGGATTGGGTTACATGGTGGCTAAGGTCCTGCCAGCTCAGACTCTATGATGCTGTGATTGCATCATCTGCCAGCCTAGTGACCTCCTGCTAAGGACGAGCAGGACCTTTGCTCGCTTCCCTCCTTCTCAGTCTGGGAGCTCCCAGGGAAGGAAGATGGCACTGGGCCTAGCAATCCAAGCTAAGGCTTCCCAGTTCCATCAGTTCTCAAATGGCATGACCTCAGGGCACTTCACTATGCTGTCTGACCTCTTCTGGACACTGGCCAGCTCCTCCATGGTTTTCCCAAAGGTCCCCGTGTCTAACACGTCCCTGACAGATGACAAATGGAGGACGCTTCCAAGAGGTGCACTCACTCTGCCCTCACCTGGAACACAATGAGCCGTCCCTTGAAGATGGCCAGGAAGTGCCGTGGCTCCCTTCCCATGGTCACCCAGACCTGCACAGGTTCCTCCTGGTACATGTGGTCTAGCTCAATGGCGTTGAGAGTGGAAGCCATGACTTCATCCACCAACGCATGTCGTCCCTATAGAAAGAGAGGAGTGAGGACAGTCTGGTGCCTGGTCCCAAGAGGAGGAGGCGGGGCAGGAACAGGAGTGAGAGTGGGCTGATACCCAGGCCTGAGAGCAGGGAGGAGGTGGGCTGGGAAGAGAGGAGTTAGGACGAGCTGGCTCCCAAGCCCAGGGGAGGAAGGAGGTGCCAGCCTAGACTGGTGGGCTTGGGGATGCCTGCCACCTGGCCTAGGGCTGGCGGACCAGGAACGGCCTCCTCATTCCTTCTCTGGGTAAGCCTCCCCTCCCCTAGGAGTTCTCTCCTTCCCCCTTTTTCCTGATCAAAACTCCTGTTTCTCACATCTCTTTTCCACCTTTTTTGTTTGCTCGTGTCTTAAACATTCAAGCCCTGCCAGTCCAGTGCCTAGGACCTCTTACAAGCTACTTCTCTCTCCAACTGCCTCCTTACCCTGGCACTTAGGAATCCCCACCCTATGTCTTCAGCCTCCTCTCCCCTTCCTCTCCCCCAGTCTTGGGCCCATCTGCTCCAGCCACACTGGTCTATTCACTGTCCCCTGCAACACACCACACTCAGCCCGACTTCCACACCCCTGCTCAATCTGGTGCCCCTCCCTGCAGTGCACTCTTCTCGGGCTAGCTCCATCTCCCCATCCAGCAGGATCCAGCTCCTCCACAGAAGCCTCCCTGGCCCTTCAAGATAGCTCCTTTATCTGACCTCCTCTTTCCTTCCATAGCCCATGACCCAGATGGTTCCCTAATTTTAATGCTAATAAGAACTCCCCTCTCCATTGATCTTTAGGGTTGGCAAAGCACTTTTCTCATAGCCCTGCAAAGAGAATGGCAAAGAGGTGATGTGACTTGCCCAAGGTCATTCATCGAGATGCAGTCTGAAATGGAATTTGAACTCAGATTTTTTAATTCCAAGACCAGCATGATTTTCACTGCCTCCAATGCAGTGAGATGAGCACTGGGCCTCCAGCTTGTGTGTATGAGCTGCCTGACTCTGGTCACTAAACCTGTCTGAGCCTCAGTGTCCTCATCTGTAAAATGAGGGTAATAACAGCACTTGCCTCATCTGGCTGTTGTGAGGATCTAATGAGATTCTGTGTGGAAAAGGCTTCAGCAGACTTTAATCATACACACATACACACACAGTCTACATACATATATACATACACACAATCTACACACATATACACACACACAATCCACATACATACATAAACACATACAATCTGCACATACACATACAATCTACAGATATACACATACATACACAAACATACATATAGACATATACACATAGATGAGCTAGGATGACTTCTGTTTCTCCAGGCCGATCAGAGCTTCTTCTTTCCCTTCCCCCGTGCCCAGGCCAAGGCCCTGAGGATCCCAGGATGCCTGAGCTCCCTCTGGTTTCCCTATCAGTCACAGGGCTAAGACCTCTGACCCTTCCTCCGGACCTCCCAGGGCTCTGGCATGAGGGGGGAGGGGCAAAGGAGCGGATGCCCTCCTTCTGGGCAGCCTCACCTGCCAGATGTAGATGATGAACTGGGTCCGCCCAGACTTCTGGTAGGTGTAGAGGACCAGGTAGCAGCCACCCCCATAGAACTGTCCATACTTCTTGGGATCAACAGGCTTCTTGTGCAAGTCCTCGATCTGCCACACCTGGGAGCCCAGAGATAGGAGGGGGCAAGGTGGCAGATAGTCTAATGGCCCTCCCCAGCCTCTGAGGGCACCAGAGGCAGGGGAAGCTCTTTCAGCTTCTTTGATGGTCCTGGGATGGAGAAGCCCCCCATGCAGATGTCCTCCAATCCTCCTCCCTCCCCAGGGAAGGAGACTCCAGACTGGCCACCTTCCCTGGCTTTCCTCTGTTCCACTCTCTGTGCTCTTCCTGCCCTTGGGGGAAGTCGGGGATTATGTCTAACTCCAATCCTGAGGGCTCTTCTATTCTGGTCTTTCCTGCTCCAAGTCTTTCCAATTTCCCTCTTCTCTGTGACTGAGCTTCCTAATACATCCCCCAAGTTCTAAAAGGGGACAAAGGAGAGCCATAGGGCCTCCCTTGATGAAACTGTGGAGTCTGCCATCTGACTTTGGGCCCCAGGAGCTCCTCCCCATGCCAGGTCTGGCCTCCAGTTCTTTGGAGCCAACCTTGAACCTACCTTTGAGCCAAAGAGCTGTCACAGGAGAAAGGCTAATCTTCATTAAAGTATTAATAACTAACAAAGGCATTGCCCCTTCCCGGGGGGCTTAGCACTCAAACAAGGGAAAAGCATTAACCCCAAATAGGATGAGCTGGTAGGTTGCCCGTCCAATGGGAAGCCTTTGAATGTTTCAGGACAAAGAACCATTAATGAATTGTGAACAGAGTAACAGGATTTCAAAGGGCAGCAGTAAGGGATATTAATGATATAAAGGCTAAAAAGATTCTAATAGAAAGTTTGAAAAGTTCAGTGGAAGCAAATCACAACAGACAGAAGAGGGTGAGAGACAACTGAAATGAAGCGGAAAAACCATTTCCAAAAATAATTCAACCACAGAGAGGATTAGAAATGATGCAGATCCCAACTGACGGATCTGGAGGGTGGGTCAAGATATAGCAGGCTCAAGATTGCTGACGTCCTGGAAAAGTTAGAAAGGAAACTCCGAGTACCGCATTCCAGAAAAGCATCCAAGAAAAATTTAAGAATGATTGAAAACAAGTAGCAATGTAGGAACAGAAAGAATCCTTGAAACTCAGCCCTGAAGAACTTAGTGCTGAGTCTCCTAGATAGAACAGTTACACTGGAACATTGTAGCAACAGAGAAAATAGCTGGGCCGCTGCAAGAAGATGGAAAGAAATACCATCCCAAGCCAGATAATAAACATTTATTAAGCACCTACTCTATGTGCCACACACTGTGCTTAGCATGGGAATAAAAAAAAAAGGCAAAAGCCTCCCTTCCTTCAGAGAGCTCACAATCAAATGGTGGAATTACCAATGACCTATTCAAGAATAGCAGAGTTTTGGGTGTAATGAAAATCTGAGGCACAAAATTAAGAAGCAAGAGCCTTGAATCCAGAATTATCATGAGGAAGCATCTGTTTTTTGTGGTTTTTTTTTTTTTGGTGAGGCAATTGGGGTTAAGTGACTTGCCCAGGGTCACACAGCTAGTATCACATGTATGAGGTCACATTTGAACTCGGGTCCTCCTGACTTCAAGGCCAGAGCTCTATCCATTGTACCACCTATCTGTCCCTTCAAGGAAGCATCTGAAGAGGAAGCATCTTCCCAGAGAGACGTGGGCCTTTCCAAAGGGCTTTTGAAAAACAGCCAGGCTAAGCCCAACTGAGAAGGACTTAGAACAATTCACACTTTTCTGAATAGATGAAGCACCAGCCAGAAGCATTCGAGGCTCTTCCCAGCACGCAGCTGACTAAATCACTTCAAGATTCAGATTAAAAAAAAAAAGATGAAAAAGAGAAAGAGTGATCCCCAGACCTTATCTTGTCTCCAGGAGTTACCTAGAAATAAAGATTTAGCCAGGGCTTCCTTCTTAAGGCTCCTGTGAAGGTGGTTTGGTGAAGTTTACATAAATAACCAGTGATTAGAATCCAGCCACACAGATCCCACTTCTAGAACTTTTAAGGTGTGCAAACACCATCATTCCCATTTTACAGATGCAGTATGGAGCCCAGACTAGAGAGGCTCTGAGTGACTCATTCCTGGTTTCTGAGCATCTGAGGATCACAGGAGAGATCTTCACTCAAGTCCCTCCTAACTGGACATCTAGAATTCTCTTCCAATAGACTATGCAGCGAGTGGGAGTGGCAGAGACAAGTAGAGGCAGATAGAGAGAGGCAGAGGGAAAGAGACAGAGAGAAGGGAGATTATAGAACTGAATTCAATTAATTTCACTTCAACAGACATCTATTAAACACCTACTGGGTATAAGGCACTGGGTTTGGCCGTGGAAATACAAAGGCAAAGACACTGACTCTAAGACCCTTTTGTTCCCAGAGCTCCCACCGTGGCCCTGCCCCCTTCCAATTGGTGGATGCTATATCTAGGCTCGATTTTAGCCATATTTCTGTTCACTTTCTTTCCTACCCCGTCATCTTCTCCATAACTCTCTACCCCTCCCCTCCCCTCCCCCATTCTGGATACATGATCAATTGTGTCATTGCCCTGGGAGAGGCAAGTCAATTAACATTCCTTCAGCACTTACTTCGTGCCAGGCACTGAGGACAGCAGAAAAGGGCAGGGGGCTTCTTGGAAGCTTGGTGGAGAACTCTACCGGAGAACTGAAGGATGGAAATTCTCCTAAGGGTCCACTTACCATTCCTGTCGATGTCCAACTCCAACCTCCTCCTGGTATGGGGAGGCCACAGCATTTTCCTCAATTACAAATTAAGCTGCTTGAGGGCAGGGGCTGTCTTTGCTTTAGTTTTTGTATCCCTGGAGCTTGGCACATAGGAAGTGCTTAGTAGGTGCATCTTTTATGCATTCATGAATAGTCATAAAGAGAGAACTCAATGGGAAAATAATATATCTTTTTCTTCTCGAGCACACAAGGAAGAAACAGAAGACCACTGATGATTGTTGGGTCACAAATTAGCCAGGATTTAGGGATTCTAATCCAAGAAAGTGAGTCAGGAATGGTTCTCAGTCAGTCAAGGTGGTAAAAGAAGGTGGTGGTAAAGCACACAGCTGATCAAAGCAAAGATAAGAGTAATACAAGCACTCTTTATCAGAATCCCTGGGCTGTAGCCAGAAAGGCATTGGGGGCCAGTCGAAGCTAGTGAGAAAGGGAAGGAATTCAGCTGACTCCTCACTTTAAAAGCTCCACTAAGGAACCAAGTGCAATCCCAGTGGGAAAAAGGAAGATGGAAATATCCAAATGAGACATGGATTAATATGCCTGGAAATTAAAAAGACCCCAAATTTATAAATGAGGATTTTTTTTTGGAGGAGGCGGTGGTGGGGGAGATCTTTCTGCTCATCATTCCACTCCGGGCTGCCTGCACCACAGGGATCATTCTTCTCTTCTCCCTCATCCCACCAGAACCTTGGGCTTACTGTGGGCTCTGGTAGGCCAGTCTTCCCCTTCACTTGCCTGGACCTAGGCCTCCATGCCACAGCCCTACCCTCTCCACACCATGCTTACCTCCTATCTCCCTGTGGGCTTGTCTTCCCTCATTAAAGGGTAGGCTCCTTGAGGGCAGGGACTAGCTTCCTTTTTGTTTTTATATATATTCCCTGTGTAACAAACTCTCTATCTAACTATCTAAATAGATAGATAAAGAGCAACTTTTAAAGAGTTTCAGTTCAAATGAACAAAATTAGAAAAGAATAAAGCAAGACCAGTAGCAGGGCAAAAGAAACCACCAGAATGACCCCATGCCTGTGCCCCGTTCAGCCAGCGACAAAGAGCTGGGGATCTAAGGGAGGTTACTTAACAAAACTAACCCAGCAAGGGCTGGAGACTGACTCGAAGGAGGCCACCGTCGGAAGGAGAAATCCAGCCACCGCCTGACCCAAGAAGAGACAGAGCCAAGGCGGGGATCCACAGGGCCAGCCCGGCACAGTGCACACTAGTTCTCAACAGAGGCAGGCAACAGGCCACCTATTTCCATCCAGGAGAAGATGGTTTTGGCACCATCAGAATACGTGAACAGCAAAGCTCAGACTGAACAAGGGAATTGTAGAAAACTATCATTAAATCATTTTGTCCAGACCCAAGATTTCCTCAGTACAATGAAGTTCCCCAATTGGGAACCTCCCTGTGCCATTGCAGGGGGCACCCACTCTACAGGGAGCAGGTCCTCACAGCTGGCATTAGTCTTCCTGAGGGAGGGAACATCGCCACCAAAATATCAGAGAAAAGAACTCACAAATCAAATGCACTGATACATAAACCATTCCCTCTGACGACCAAGAAGTCAGCAAGTCTGAAAATGCTTATTAAGCACTTACTGTATGCTAGGCAACATGCTAATAAATGCTAGGGATGCAAAAAGGTCAAACACGTTCCTTGCCCTCAAGGAGCCCATATTTTAATGAGGGCGACAACATGCCATTAATTGGGCACCTACAGGATAGACACCTGGTAGCCAGGAGGCCCCAGGTATAGGGGGCCAAGTTTGGAGTCAGGAAGACCAGTTTAAATCCAGTGTCAGATGTGTGACCTTGGACCGGTCCCTTACCCTTCCTCCGCCTCAGTTTCTTCAACTATAAAATAAGGATAATATAAGCCCCCATCTTCCTGAGTTGTTGTGAAGATCAAATCAGATAATCACCTTAAAGCTCCATATAATTGCTGGTGAGGTAGTTTCTATTATAGTGTAAATGGAGAGCAATCTCAGAGAGAAGTGGAGGAGGTAGTGGGAAAACCGACCAAGAGCAGACAGTGTAGTAAATCACAGAACCGAGTGAAAAATAAAACAGATGGGATCATTTCCTTGTCTGTATGATGGGAAGGACTGGACTTGGGAGCTCTTGGTGTCACTTCAAGCGTCTATGATCACATCACTAGAAGCGGAGAAGGCCAACAATCATTGATGTAAAACCCCCCAAAAATATGAATTGAAGGATGTTTCCTTAATATGACTTTTAAAAGTACGTATTTAAAGCTACATGCTAATAGACACAAGGCGGAAACATTAGAGGCATTCCCAGTAAACCCACAGGGGTGAAGCAAGGCAGGAAAAGAAGACAAGCATTGGCAATGAAGAGGGATCTGACAAATATCTGTAAGCACCGACTGAGTTCCAGGCACACTGCACCGTGCTGACCCAGCTCCAGTACAAGCTTATATCCCACATCAACTGGGCCCTCGCTGCTGCCAGGCAATCCTTGTGCACCTCCCTTATCAGCTCCCTCCTCCTGTCTCCACAGTCACCGATCCAAACCTTCTCATCCCTCCTCCAATCTCTCCCCAGCTGGAGACCTTGTCTCATATTTCATTGAAAAAACTGACATCCTTTGTCCAGAGCTCTCTCTTCCCTCCTCCTCCTCCCCTGCTATTACTCAGATGTCTTCTCCCACTATCTCCTCCTTCATTCCCATCTCACATCAAGGGGTAGCTTTCTCCTGGCCAAGGCACATCCTCTATACCCACAAGTGGTCCCACTCAATCCTGTCTTCTCTAGCAAATCACCCCCCACCCCTGTCATCCCCCATCTCTCATTTAACTTTCATTTCTCCTTGTCCACTGGTTGCTTCCCTGCTGCCTAAAAACAGGCCCGAGTCTCCTCCATCCTCAGAAGACCCTCACTGGATCCACCTATCTCTGCTGACTTCTTCCCACAGCTCTCCTCCCTTTTGTGGCTAAACTCCTGGAGAAGGCCACTTACAACTGGGGTCTCCCTTTCCTCTCCCCCTCTTCCTGGCTCTCTGCTTCCTGGCTTCCACCCTCAGGATTCACCGGGAACTTCTCTCTCTTACTGGTCTTTTCCAAATGGTGATGGTCTTTTCCAAATCCTCCTTCTCTTTAATCTCTCTGCAGCCTTTGATGCCATTGATCACCCTCTCCTTCTTGATACCCTCTTCTCCCTAGGTTTGCAGGACACCTCTCTGTCTGTCTCTCTCTCTGTCTCCTCTCTCTCGATCTGTCTGTCTGCCTGTCTCTATTTCTTTCTCTCTGTCTCTCTCTCTTTCTCCTATTTCTCTGTCTCCATCTGTCTCTCCCTTCTCTGTCTCCACTCTCTATCTCTCTGTCTCTCTGTCTCCTCTCTCTTTCTCTCTGTCTCTGTCTCCTCTCTATTT